TAAGTTAATGATTTTTAATCAGCTGTCTCCAAATACTTTAAAGCCAAGGTATAAGTTGTTCAGTGGTGTCTGGTTTTTAATTAAATCTATAGTTCCAGTCAGTGCCACTCATAATTCAGTATAAAATTTATACTGCTTACAGATATTTTGACACTTGTATTTATCTAGCCTGACGTTGGTCTATACAGAATTACAATTACTGCTAACTGTTTTACATCTGTAACGGTCTATTTATATATTATTTATTTATGTGGTTCTCGGTTAAATTTTCTTATTTCAACAACCAAAGACATATTTAGTTGTTTTTAACGAAAGTATAAAACTTTTATGTTGTTTATATGTGGCACTTGGTTTTACATCAGAATATAAATTACGGTTTTTCTATATCACTCCATGATGACTAAAAATTAGTTGCTGTATGTTTGTTTTAACGAATAGATTGTTTCTGAGATTTCTAAATGTAATAATACTATTTCCTTACTGTTTATCCCTCATTTTTGGTATTGATTCCGATTATTGTCTGTTTATTTTATTAGACAAGAAACCAATAATTCTAATGTATCATATTCAAATAGATTTTGTTTTGATTTACTTTTAAAGATATATTTTAAGTGAAATTTATTAGTCCAAATAACTATAGAATTGATGGATTTTGGTTAATAATGGAATTCCGGACACCACACTATCTTAATTGGGACTCGTCATTTAAATTTGCCTACAGTTCAGTATTGATGTTCACAATGAGATTTGAACCCAGTACTTTTTGTCAACCCACCATTCACTGAATTATCTAGTTTGAACAGCCACCGACTTGCTCAACTTGTATGATATTTCTATCATTATGATTAAGGTTTTGAATTATCCGGTTGGTGATATTCTGAACTGAATTTTGATCAATCTTTTGTTTAAATATGTGCATCTTGTGTGGATTACCTCAGTATACGTATCTCTGTGAGTTTGGTTCGGTGAAAAGAGAGTGATAAAACATTTCATGCCTTTTATTTATTACTAATATACGATCATCTAATACAGTGTTTGCTTATGCTCTCACCTTTTTTCACTCAATATCTAGTTCAAACATTTTTTATGACTTAATGTTCTGAATCGATAGATTCAATGCTTAGAATGTTTGCATTGATTGAAATCTGTTTATTCATGAGTAAAAATTATTGAATGGATGTGTATTATTGTAATTGTTTTTCCATTATTTAGTTTTTTTTGGATAAATCCGAATACGGTCACTGAACAATATGTAGAAATATTTCCAAATAAAACAGTATAACAACTAATAAATAGATAGTAAATATATATAACTTCTCTTTAAATGACCAGTAGCGTAGTCATTGACGAATTCATACTCACTCCTGATGCATGTCGAACAGTATTTTTATATTTTGTTGAGCGAATTGTTAACTATTCTTCTAGAACAAAAGTGTTTATTTCTATTTTTCTAAACGCATTTAATATTTACTGTACCAAGTCACTAACGTCTACTTTTAATGTTTTAGTACTACTCCCTGTTATTTGCTATTAAATATTCAGTAACGCTTCATATATATATTCAATTAACTGTTAAACTTGTTTAAAACCTACGAAATAAAGCACTTCTTTATGGTGTAATGTACTTTACAAAATATCGTATTCGAAATTTTTGTTTTCTAAAAACACGCGATATAATGGTAATATGATGATACAAAATTAGTAAAACTGAAAGCATGAAATATTGTAGTAGATTGTTACGTCACACTTATTTAAATATAAAAACTGCGAATAAATACTAGAATAACTAAGGGCGCACGCACATTTTCATATTAAGTCGATTAATTTTAGCTGTCACGTAACTAATCAACTTCAATGATGACCAGTAGTGAAATAAAAAAATTAAAAAAAAAACGGAACTGTTTATGATTCCTAGAGTAAGTTGTGCTGCAGGCATGATTCCTCTGAGGGTTGTGAATAATACTACATTATTAAGGAATAACAATTAAAGCTCATCAGTTTCTCCATATAAATATAATCCTTGATCTGTAGATCCCTGATGAAATACTCTGTCAATATATATGTTAGCAGACAAGGAAACACAACTTCTCTTCTGTTTACTGAAGAAATTACGACAAAAAAGTCAAACCTGATTTATTTTGTTATGTGGTCTTCCCTTACCGAATTGTTATTTTGAGTATATTAAAACCATTTCTTCACTAATATATTTCCATTCACTTGGTTATCTTAATTTATGTAATCTCTTTAAATCTTGTTCAATTATTGCGTAACCTATCTTATCAGTTTTTTAATTCTAATAATCTCGTGTAAACCCAACATTACCTCTAAAATCATCACATGATTTATCATATCTGTCTCTGAACCTCAATTATTACATCACCCACCTCTTATGTTTTTGGACTCTACCACCAAACAACCTCCGACCTTTTTTTGCATATACATATAGTTATTATTGATAATCTTTGTCATTGCAATGCTTTTCACTTATCTATGTTAATTGTTTCACACTACATCATACCTCAATGTAAACGTTTAATATATATTTGGTTAGGGGCAGCTGATTAGAAATGACAAAATATAATGAATTCATATTATTATCATTGAAATTCATAAAAAGAACTAATTGTATAAAAAATATACTCAATTATATTTCTATGACATACAGTTTGTACATTGATTAACACATGCAATTAATAATGCTACAATTCATTTTTTGTTCTCTTCAAATTGCAGAATGTAAATAGATATTATAGTGATGTGTATCATTTCTTTTTTCAGTAACTCATCCATTTAGATTGAAAAAAAGACAAAATATACAATGACAGGAATAATTCCTCTTTTTGTATTTGTTACTATAATAATAATAAGCTTTTTTTGAATGAAATATTTATCATTGCTCTATAGTCCTCATGCAAGAAGATTCCCATTAAAATTCCATATGAATTTTATGATATTTCACTTAAAGGAAGGTTTTCAAGTGTTTCTTTTCATGATTTTAACTATCAATGGATATCAATGAATATAAACTCTATTAAATAAATGATCATGTTATTTAAATACTAAGAACAAAAAAAACCTAATCGACTTGTATGTGAAGAAAAAGAAAACAGTTAAAAAATAAGTAGCTTATAGTTTTGAAAAGAGATTGACAAAAAGTGTTCTTTTCTTGTTGGTGTCGCTGTTGTTGTTGTTGTTGTCGTGGTAAATATGATGATATTTTACACACAATTAGTTAGATTAATCCAGATTCGGACGATCTAGTTAATAATGAAAGTAATAAATAACTTAGAAACAAAATAACTTTGTCATGAATTAAATTATTTAGTAAAATGAAATGGTACATTAAATATTAAATCAGTCTTGTAGTTACTATGAAAGATAACATGGTCAATAACTTGTCAACAATAATATAATACATTGAACTTAATTCTAGTTCCTCTGTTATTACTTTGTTACTATGGTTTAAATGAGTACAACTTTATTGAATATTTTTTAAAATAGGAGCTAACAATAAACAAAATATTGAGTGTTTAAGTGATTAAAACTAAAGTTAAGTTATAATGGGATGATTAAAACTTGGATGCATTTACATTCATTAAATGAAATGTATGTGTTTCATACTACTGATTGTCACTATCCAAAATGTAACATGTTAGTGTTTGTAATGCTAAATGTTTCAAAATCCATGTTGATAATCATTCCATTATTTTTTTTTATAAAGATAATGTATTTATCAAAGCATCCTGGCTCCATTAAACAAATTAGTTATTAATTATTTTAAAACTAAAATATCGGGATTTTCTCATTTATCACTTACATGAAATATTCTTTTACTAAATTTAAATATTCATACTTTTTAATGCTCAATAATAAAACATGTTAAGTAGTATGTTAACAAAATATCTATTCGGTATATATGTAGATATGAAACAAAACTGTGAAACTTACTCTTCATTGAACATTTTAATCAATTTATGAATGAATATATCAATATATGACTAACAACAAATTTGTTGATTTGACTTAAAAGGTATAAACATTTTAGATGATGGAAAAGATTTATAGATCATGTGAATGATTTTGATGGAGTTTGATTGTTTGAATTGGATGGTCTGGTTGCGGACAAGCTGTGGTTCACATGTGGTGAAAGTTAAATATTCCACGTCTATCCGAAGCTTGTGCTTATAATGTTGTTTAGAAGAACAATGAAAGCTCCACGACAAAATAAAACATCCTGCTCAGGAAATGAAACCTTATCAAGAACAGTTACGAACTGCGAACATTGTGTACAAGATATCCATCTATTTTGTGTTTTAATTTTAGTCAGCATATGATAGACTTAAGACATTAGTGAGTTCGTTTGACAACCAGTCTCGTTACATTTTTTGGGTATTCGATTAATAATGTGGAAATTGAGTAATGAAAATCATCTGACGAACCAACAAACTCTAGACGAACTATTTAATCTAGACAAGATTAAAAAAACAAATTGAGATTTGTCAGAATGAAAGATACATCAGTATGAAAAGGAATTAGAGACCAATTTTTGTAACTATATAGAACAATGTTTAAAAAGCTAAATTTTTCAATTATAAACACGGCATTATTGTACACTGATTCAAGTTGATCCACTTAAATAATTCAGAATTAGAAAGGACTATAATATAGAACATGACACATTCAGGAATTTTAGCTTTGAAAATTAAGTAAATATAGGATAAACCTATGAAGCTCCTGTTGAGTTTGGCTTTTTTTATCAGCAAGCTATGACTGAATGTACTTCGTGAACACATAGTCATCATTTATATGTTATTATGCGTAAACAAATACAGGTTAAAATCAAAATAACTGTCGACTAGTTGGCTTTATCAAGTGAACAATTAAAAATGCTTTTCTTTTTAACATACTCGATATTTTGTAAACTATTAATTTGTTTATAAATCACTAATTATAGCTTATTTTTATGATGAGTCACTTGTTTATTGTATTCCCCTAAATAGGCTGGATGGAATGAAACAGATTTCTGTATTCATAAACGCAATCGTTTAGCAAGTTTAATAAGACGACGATCAAAAAAAGCAGAACTACCACGTAAACGAGTGAATTCCGATTTCAGACAGTATACAAATGGTAGTGTTAGTGATTCTGAAGAATGTAAACGTCAAACATTTGCCTATTCAAATAGAACTAAAAATAATGAATTTATTTTTGATGAGTTTAAAAATAATTGTGAAGATTTGAGTGAATCAGTATACAGTTTACATGGTGGTCAACTAACATCATCTTATTATATTCCAGCCCAAACAATTGTTCATGAATCATATAATCCGGATGAATTAAATTCTTATCGTCAAGATAGAACACATGCAGTTTATATTGCAGAAGGAGATATAAATGCCATGTCCAAAGATAATCACAATAATGTTTTTGAAATGATTAATTTGTAAAAAATTTTTTTTGTAAATTCTATATCTTTCATAATCGTAATGTGAATAACTAATTAGATTTTACGTCAGTTTTTTTGTTGTTGTTGACGAATAAATCTTTTTTTTGTTTTTAGTCATAACTAATCTAATCAATATTTCCGTACCATTTCGTTAAATAAGAATATATATATTTGTAAAATAAAAGTTTAAATGCATAAGTTGGTGTAAAATGTTCAAGGAACCTAGAGTTGTCTAACTGCTTACATACTTACGCCTGTTACTCCTCATGAAGGAGTATAGTCCGCTCACCAGCATTCTCCATACAACCCTGTCCTGGGCAAAGAGTTTTCTAATAATATGTCATTGTTGAAAATTATACCAATTTGAGTGTGGACCTATAATGTAGTCCAAGAATTACCGTTCAAGTGTACTTTATTTGTCAGTTAGCGTTAATCATCCTATTAAGTTTTATATCACTATTTAATAAGAACATTAGTACTGGTTAGTGTATAAGTGCACTTATCTGTTTACTCTGTATTATTTGAAGAAACGTGAACACTAAACTTCAGTGTTTTATATTATCTATCAATTATTCATATTGACTAATTTCATATTATTAATCAATTTTATTTAATTTTCTACAATTTACACATACTTATTCACAAAGATCTCAAATTTTGTTACGATGTGATGTAATTTCTGCCAAATTTCTTTGGAAAAACTAACAGAATTAAATACAGTTTGTTGTGTATAATTTAATGTCATTTTGAACACTTTCAAGAATTTAAAATGCTATTACTTCACTTATGGTTTATCGTTTCAAGTATATGTAAGTACGTTTATAATCCAACAAATCTATCCTTTTTTTCCCAATAATTAAAAAAAAAATACATTGAATTTTATTTAAAAAAGTTTGTATTTAATCCATATAAATGGTCAGCAAAAAGTTTTTTCAATTTAAAGGAAAAAACTTTTATTGCTAGTTAAAACCCAGGAAAAAATTGTAGGTTGGATCAAATAGACCATTAAATTTTACACTCATTGATCTTAGAGATTAGTGTTTCAACTATGTGACATAAAAGGCTTTGACTCAATTTCCTAGCGGCTTTTATTGTAAACTAGGATGAAACAGTTTTTCGGTTTGTTTGAGTTTTCAGCTTCTGTAATTTCATATCAAATTCATGTATAATTTCAAGAATGAGATGGTTACCCACCTGCTTCACTGGCTGATGGTTAAGCAGTATCTCGAATTGACTGATGTTAATAATATGCACCGTTGGATATCAACTGATCTAAATACCAAGCACTCATCATTGAAAATGAGGACTCCGGGTTTAACTATCTGCTGGTTTTATGAATTCATCTTGATGGGCTATCCTAAACTAAGATGAAATAGTTTCTTAGTGCTGTCTGGTAACCAATGACTTTATAACTAGGATCAGTATGTAATGCAAACTGGAAAATTTGAAAATTTACACAAACTCTCGATGTCAATATCACATATAACTTATTGATAAAGCACAGATCATTTTTCGGAACGGTGAGTACATGTTTCTCTTACTTTGATGAAGCTATCTAGGGACTAAATACTTTAGTTTCTCATAGAATTTTATTGTATTTGGATAATTTCTTAATGAAACCCATAAATAGCTGATGATCCGAAGTTCAGAAGTACAAGTTTGTTAGAATTTAAATGAACGAATCAAATTACCATGCGCTATCGAAAGACTAAATATATTATTCAACCACAAAATAACAAATAGAATCTACTACTAACCTATATTTGCTCAGAATAAGCGACTTAAGTCTCAAAACGTCAGAAATTCTGATTTCAGGGATATCACATATATATCATTATTTAATAAGTTATGTTGATCTGTAACTTATTTATTTAAATATGTTGAGAGTAATACAGTAGATAAGGATTATGCCAAATAGTAAATTGATCAAACTTGGATTACATCTGGTTTTCCGCCAGTCCAATACAGTCTAGGTTCACTTCTGTGTAAAATTTGTTTCTGAAGTTCTTTTGAACGATTATTTAATGCTTCTATTAAATGGTTTCTAATAAAAATCACCTCTAACTGTATTTTAATTATTTCACTGGAGAAGGTTGAATAAATTTTCTTGGCGACATGTAAGAAATATTCAAATTCCAGTTGCTGACATTATTCCAAATATATTTTTACAGTCATAACTGGGCTAAGAGACAGTAAATGTCAGTTGGTGAAAATGGTTTTCATTTGGATTAGATGTTGTCAAATGAAAAAAGAAAAGATTGTTAAATACGATAGAGATTCAGAAGTAAACAATGATCTCATACTGAACTATAAATATCTGAATGCGGAATATTCATTGCAATAAATTCAAATTAGATTCTAGAGTTGTAAATATAAGTTACTTAATAAAGTGATTAGTTAAAACAAATAATATATCATTTTAAAACATTTGGAAATGAATTCAGGATTGTCAGTAAAGTACGTTTGTTAGCTGACGTTGCTTGGTGTTAAAGCAATCAATATGCCATTTGTAATCGAGTCAGTATGTGAGTCGACTGAAATCGTAAGATTAATTATCTGAATATTTATAAATGTTAACGTGAGAAATATGGTAATATAAGTACTAAGAAGATCAAATGTTTCGCCAAGGATTATAGAATGTACGGAATTATGTCAGTCAAAAGATAGAAAAAAGGAATGAGTGATGAATGTGTTCTTTACGCTTATACAAAATTAACAGCAATTAAACTTGATTTAAATCATAAAGCTATATATAGAAAATGTTTAAATTAATTGAACTGGATAGTTGTGAGTTTTAGATGCATGTTAAATTATTGGCAAAGAGAAGAGCAACGGTTGAATATGCTTCTTCTGACAACCTATCTTCAGCTTACCGATTATAGTTCCTATTACATCTATCGTATGAAACATTGAGTCTGGCATCTGTTGGAAGATTTCTATTAACACCGTACGCTAATGTAAATGACTGATTTGTGCTCGCCGTGTGGACTGTTTAAATTAAATAGGCTAAAAGTAAACACATGCTTAATCACGTTGGTATATGTCGATGAGCAGCAATATGTAAATTTCTTCGACGTGCTTTTGAAAGACGAAAACTTGTTGATTTCGAAACCGGATAAAGTTTCAGGAGCGATTCTTTTCTATAAAGTAATTAGACCGACAAAATTCATATCGTCTTCAATGATCAGTGAAAATTTCCGAAACTAAGTGACCTGAAAGAATCCAGTATTATGACAAACGGTGATCGTATTTGACATATAAAGAGACTAAAAAATCAGCTGACTTTCCCAGGCTTAAACATAACAATAAAAACGATATAATTTGCCAAAATGTACATAAACCAAGTATTCCATTAAGAAATCCTCATCATTCAAAATTCCGTCACATAGTACATTAATGAAGAGGTTAGTTATCGTTCTGAAACTCGTTTAAAAATTGATTCTAAAAGGAGAGTATTAAAGATAAATGCGAATTTGTTGAAAATCATAAATGATTTAAGCAAAAGCAAATTGTAGTATCCTTAGATGCAATACTGTTGTTCATAAACTTTCTCTTCACCAAGAAAATCGATTATTTATTTGAGCTGTTTACTGAAAAGGAAATCAAATGAAAGGCAGAATATTATGTTTTCAGTGTTTTACCAAAACGAAATACAAACTGACTAATAAAGAACCTGTGCCGGAAGAACAAAATACATATATATTTAGTTTTATACGTCTGAACTAAATGTATATAATGGTTCCGACTTTTTTGCTGACTGACTTTTCCCAACAACAGATTATAACTGTTTATTCAGTTTCGCCAAATGTATGAACTCTCTACACAGTTGAAAATATTATAAGTGTGGGATGAGCTTTTAAAGTTGGCAAAGTATTTCACTGTAACAGACAAAATTCATTGCTTAATAAAATGTCCAATATCTGTTTATAAGTTTACTTTTAGTTAAGTTTGCTGAACGTATGTATTATAAATCAGTTTTATTATTGTATATCCTTCAATTAACCTTGATGTTTGTTGCTCTATATACATATTGTGTTTCGATGAATCATGAAACACACTGTGGATAGGACACACAGTGAGGAAAGCACTCAAATGCATCACAAGGCAAGCCCTCACGAGGAACCCTCAAGAGCAACGGAGAAGAGGAAGACCAAACGCTACATTACGTGGACGAATGGAGACACACATGAGAAGAATGAACAACCATTAAATAGAACTAGAAAGGAAGGCCCAGAACAGAGAGGGTTGACGAATTCTGGTTGGCGGCCTATGCTCTACTGGGAGTAACAGGCGTAAGTAAGTAAGTAACCCATTGTTTTTCACTCTTTTTAGATCATATCAGATACTTATAATCTAATAGTTAGAAAATGGACCCAAAATGAGATCAAACCCTGAACGTTCAAGTCTTACAGTGATCCAGGTACTTTTGAACCATTCAGTGGATAACAGATCGTCAACATGCCCAATCTTAATCTAGTTATATATCTGGGGCACGGTCAGTTGTTTGATGATGTCTGATTTTAATTCTTCAAATACGTTTGGTCTGTCAAATTTATATGCATCAAAGTTTATATACATATATATATAATGTTCTATCATTTCTATTAAATTCATCAATGAACAATATTTAACCGGACACTATATCGTGTAACTTATTATTTTAAAGTTTGTAACCATGTATAACACCTTCTTGCTAACATTTTCATAATCAAAAAGTTGACAGTTATTAATGAAAGTGAATCTTTTTTCTTCACCTAAATGTCAGCTGATTGTTAAAAATAGTTACATGAATGAAGAATTTTCTTTAGTAAACTTGTTAATATTGCAAACCTTCATAGGTGCGAGAAAAATATGTAAACCCGAGATCTAATTTATGGACGAACCAATCAGATATATAGGATAATGAGCCTTGGATTTTAGCGCGAAATTCACTCATACATTTGGTGAAATAGAGTTTTGACATTATAGCTGATGTCAATTCTTGATGAACACCTTAAATCTAATTCCTAACCCTAACCACCAATTGTAAATCATAATTGTAATTACTCATACTGTTTTATAACTCTTTATATAGTCCTAGTTAGTAGGTAGACCTTATCAAGGTCACTTTAGTGTCTCTCAAAGCTTGTCCATAAATTATAGTCTCACCTTAAAACTCTATCGGATCACTTTATTTTTTAAATAATTATAAAATTTTGATTTCTGAATAAATAGAAAATTGAATTTCTAATGTTTCGTGACTTTGTGTAAGTATCTTCGTTAAAGAATAAATCATCTGATTAAACAAACATAAATTTAAATAGTACAGTAGAACAAATCATAATATTTAGTACAATACGAAATGTTTACCGTTGAACTTTATATCGATGACATTAAAAATGGTTCTGTATGGATCATATGTTTGTGTATTTGTGTATATCTGAGTAAATACGGATAATATAGTATTCTTTTTGTGACAGAATAGAGAAAATGTTTCTTGTGAATAAGTTGAAATCGGAACAGGGTAAGTGTGTGTTGGTTTAGAAAAAAAACATATGAGAAGTGAAATAGATAGTTTGACTATTCTTTCTGTTGAATATATAGTATGGTACAAGCTGAAAACATTTATTTTACTTTTTTCAGGCAGTTGTTTCAGTAATGGTCATATAAACGGTATGAATGAAGGAAAAGAAATCCTTTACTGTTACACAGATTTATATTCATGCACTAGGATGTTTAATATAATTAATCCCTTTAATAAATTTCGATAATGTGATGATGTATCCCTGAGCAATGAATTTTCAATCATAAATGGTTACACGCATACATGTCAAGGTATTTGCAAGTACAAACTAATAAGATTCAGTTAAACAAAGCATCTAATAAGTGTAAAATGATGATCAGAAATAAAGAATAGAAAAATAATAGAATTTGTAGAGTGAAACAATTTTTTATGCATTCCAGATTATGTAATCTACTTCACTGTTGTCATCTATTAGTAAATTACCTAAATAATTTTAATATATTTCGTATGTGTTTATAAACAACACTACATATTAAAGTCCATTTTAAATCTAATTGCATTTAAATGCCAAGATAGAACTATATTCAGTTATATTTTATTAAAAGAAGAGGAAGTGTTAGATAAAACCGTTTAAGGAAAGATAAAGTATCAGCATAAGGTTACGGAGATTGTTGAATTTTTATTGAGATCATGAACTCATTTAATTTGGACCACCATTGACAACCTGGAAGCACTTGATGACCGTTTTGTCCTAGTATGGGACTCACTAGCATTGCGAATCAACGACCCCAGGACTCTCAGTCACACATGTGAACGTTTAACATTTAGACAACTGAATCGGGATCCAGCGGTATAAATGACTAACTTCAAACAACTCCACAATATTGTGCGACCATCTTAAATTGTCTTCGATGGGTAACTCCCTCATACTCAACACTGTTGAACACCACTGGTCAAGGCTTCTCACTAGAAATCCGAAAATCCCCTCTTGAAGCTAGTCACTAGTGAGCACATGATTCAAAATACTGACAACATTACACCTTGATCGATAGAATTCGATCAGCAATGGAGATTTTGTGAAATCTGACATTGGTCATTATAAATTGATCCGTCAACCGTAAATATTTTAGCCTTACATGAGGTCAGTTGCAGCTTAAATATCTCAGTAGGAATATCTTAAAATGCGAAACTTGGTAACGCGGATTTGAACTCATCAGAAGGCATAGATTCCCTCAATATTACATATAAGCACTACTGACGAGTATCGGATTGTAACAAACCTAGGTGCAGTGTTTCGTGTAGTTTGCCTCCAACCACCTAATATGCAGAATTATATTTTTGTTAAACAACAATCGTTTGTGTTTATAAGCAACGTACTGTCTTTTCATTTTCGCTATTTAACGTTTGATGCTCCGAAATTTTCATCTAACCGGTCATAAGACGAAAAGTTCTCCAACCAACTGACATAGTTTTATTTAAACTAATAACGTTTTTGTGTAATTATAGGAAGCATAGTAAAGGTAAGTTGACATCCTTTTTAATATAACTGTTTCTTTATTTCTCTGAGAAAAGGATTCTTTTGTTAGGAGAAAGTGTATGAAATTTATTGAATGATAGATTTGAATTAGATGATTTTCTTTAATTAATGGTCCTTTCAACTAATCATTGATCACATCGATATATTCTTTTTGTCTAACAATAAATTAAGCGACGGATTCGAGATATTAAACATTAAATGATAAATAAGAAGGCAGCACGTTGCTTATAACTACAAGCGGTTGTTATTTAACAAAAATGCAATTCTGTATGGTTGGAGGCAGACTACATGAAACAATGAACCTAAATTTCTTAAGATCTGGTACTCATTAACAGTACGTACGCATAATATTGAGGGGACTGATGCTCCCTGTTAGATCGAAATATTCTTATCTTCAAATCTTTTTTCATTAACTAAAAATTATATAATTCATCATGCGTTACTTTTTGTATTAAAATAAAAAATCATCAATTATTAATATATTCTCACAACTGCACTCTATAGTTAATGTGATACTACTAAAATAGAGTTAAAATTATACAAAGTAATGAACTGCTACATAATTATACAATATTCGTAAGGGGTTTTAAGGACATTATAGTAATCTTGATTGTTGAGATCATGGGTCAATTGAAGCTAGACCACCATGAAAAACCTGAAAACACCGGACTGTCGTTTCGTTTTATTGTGGGACTCTCTAGCAGTGCGCATCAACGATCTCACCATGCGAGATTCGAACCTAGGACCTATCGGTCTTGCGCGCGAACGCTTGACTATTAAACCACTGAGCTGGTGTTAATGTCTGTCTTCAACTAATCCACGAAATTGACCGACAAATCAACCATTGTCTTCAGTGAGTTACTATCTTTCAACAGACCCAGTTGAACTCCACTGGTCACTGTTTCTCACTAGAACTCCAGAAAATACCTCTTGAAGCCAGTCACTAGTGATCATGGTGGTTTGGCTTCATTTGGCTCATGAATTCAACTATAAAATTACTAAAATCTCCACAAAACATCTTCTGATAATAATCACCGTATGCTCATCAGTGACTGGTTTCAAGAGGTATATCCTGGAGTTCTTTTGAAAAACAGTGACCAGTGGAGTTCAACCAAGTCTGTTGTGAGATAATAACTCACTGAACATAATGGCGGATGTTTCAAATAATTTCATGTATCAGTTGAAGTTAGATATTAAGACTGTTGGATACCGGCTCAGTGGTTTAGTAGTCAAGCGTTTGCTTGCAAGACCGTTAGGTCATGGACTCGAATCTCGCGAGGTGGGATCATGGATCCATACTGTTGAGGAGTTATACAATATTCATTTGTATATTACTTTCATTGAATAATCTCATGCATTAGACATTGTTTATATTACAAACACCTAATATTATCAGTTATTATCAAATAAGCCAATATTTACAAATTCGATTTATATATTTATTAATTATGATAAATCTATTTGTGATCATATGAGAATGATGAATCTATTAGAGGTTAATGAATAAGTAAGTAATAAGATAAACAGATAATTGAATTTGTTACGGAACAATAAAGAACAATAAGTTAGTTTAAAAAAAAAATTTCCATATAAGCAAATAGGGATATTTAATGAATATTATGGTTGGTAACGTAATCGATCATGTATGATCATTTAATTATTGTTAGATATGTAGATCATTGGATAAATAACAAATTAGGTGATATGATGAGTATTTATGGATAAAACAATGAGAATATAAGATATAAGTAAAGGGGAATGCAGTAACGATAATAATAACAATAGAATAATAATAATAATATTAATTAAGGCCAAGGTAGCGATAACGATAAGACGTACCTCTTCGTATTCAACTCTTAGAAAATACCCGAAGCTCTGACCATTCATGAGCTCAAACCAGAACTATACGTACAAAATAACAAATTGTTTATATGAAGATAAAGAGAAGAATAATGTAATA